CGGGGAGGGTGTGGGGTTCTGTCATAGTATAAATCAGTAAGAAGCAACTTTGTCTACTCTCATTAAACTGTGTTTAACTAATTTATCATGTGGAAAGAATATTTTTGTAAATTTCAACCTAATGTGGCAGCTATTCTGGAACCAAAAATCAGGCATTTACTTTTGCCAGAAATTAGAGTGATACCTACAGGTAAATATATTGTATGATGAATAATTAAACTAGCCACATAATGGGTAAATTTAGTTAGTTATGAGCACTAATTTTACCTCGATTGCTTGATGGAGTACATCTTCTAATTGCTTTGGTATGCACTGTTTATCACCAATCCTATTCAGTAAATATACCAGTGAAGGTATATGCCTATCACATGTCTCAGTAACAAAAAGTAAAGACATGCATGGGTTGTCCAGTTCAGCATTCTGAAAATAAAAGAAGCTTAGATACAAACAACACACTAATATAATCCATCACATCTCTTGCATATTTACTAAAATCAGAAAGTTAAACTTATTGTCACAAAATTAGTAAATCTGTCAGGCTCCACCCAAGGTGTTGACATATGAAATATCAAAGTAATTTTGCAAGCCATTTTAAAGTAGTTGTTGAAAATATCTATTTTTACAAAAAATATATTCACTGAAATAACAGAATTGAATTTATTGTCACAAAATGAGGTCCATGCACCCAAGGTACATATATACCAAGTATCGAAGCAACCAGACTTGCCATTTTTGACGCAGACAGACCAGGATGTTGATGAAGGAGGTGATACATATACTAGAGCACATACCGGTAACACCAAGTATAACAATCATGGATGAAGTATACACTCACTTTTCTGTGACATTCTCCATAATTGTCTGCCATGCAACCCAGTCTATTACCAAACTTGTATTTATTAGGTGGGAAATCAAAGTGGATAATACAGTTTGCATCTGTTATACCAAGATCAAGTATTACATCATCTGTCATCACTGTAAAAATATACAATAATGAGTAAATATATTAGACTTTGCCAAAGCTCTAAAAACTGAATCAGAATAGAAAAATGGACATATAATTATGTATTCATGTACTTGGCAAACATCTCAGACATATCTTGATAGGTTTTGTTCAAAGTTTTTATATATTACACACATGTACATATTCGCAAAGTGGGAATGAAATTTGACAAACAACTGCATCTCTACAGCTTCAATGAACAAAGACACAAATTATTTTCTGTTGTTTACATCAATATCTTCTTACCTAATATTGGATTAGAATCATCTCTGTGATTAGACTTCCATTCATGTCTAATCATTTCCATTTGATGGTCCATCAGATCGCTGTGGGCAAGTAAACTGAAATGACTGTAACTAGAAAACAACTGAAAACAAAGAGTATGCATCATTAGCTATGTGACCCAGAGTTTAGCAGAGTTGCAAACAAATTGAATAAATAACACTCAGTGCTGTATTTGTGATGCAACAGATTAAACAAGAACAACTTATCCAAAACATATTTTATAATCAGTTCTTAGGCCTTGATAGATCTCACTTGCTGTAACACACTGCATCAGACATATTTCTGACTTACTTGCTGTAAACACACTGCATCTGACATGTTTCTATCTTACTTGCTGTAAACACACTGCATCTGACATATTTCTGACTTACTTGCTGTAAACACACTGCATCTGACATGTTTCTATCTTGCTTGTTGTAAACACACTGCATCTGACATGTTTCTATCTTACTTGTTGTAAACACACGTGCATCTGACATGTTTCTATCTTACTTGTTGTAAACACACTGC